GGAGCTTTTCTTAAAAAGTACCATTATAGGAGTTCCTACGGCTCTGACTCCGTACCCCTTCCCCTCATTGTTTTTCCTGCTCACTCTCTTTTTCAGAATGCTCTTTGCATGGTCCACACAAGATGAACGCCACGGGTCCGGACAAGTTTTTTACCTGTGCAATCCGTTTAGAGGGAACGTGCAAATTCTCTTGCAGATTGCAATACTTTTTGTAGCTCAAATACATCACGGTTCCGCGGGTCGCACGTAAAGAAAAGGAGGATCCATGCAAGTTTTTGGCAGTTCAAAAATTTGTAAAAGGGGTCATAGTGTTAACTCGAGTTGGTACCTTTTCCGTCATATTGATCATCGATAGAAATCGTACACCTGGAAGTTTACAGCCACTAGGTTCCTTTTTGTTTACTGGTGTAGTCGTGAAAGAATTGACATCTCCTACATCTCTTCGTCACTGGATTTGTCAAAAAACACTCTCACTACGGTGTTTAACACAAGCAGAAACACGTTGACAGTCCTCACATTTAGAGTAATCGTCCAGGTCTTGTCTTAAATTCAGAGGAGGCAATGATAACAGAAATGGAGTTTATTCATCTGCTACGGAGGTAATTTCCAACGCCATTTCGTTTGTTAATCCTCTCCACGGCGCAGTTGGAAAAAATGCGCGAGCGAGTCACACAAGATGGCACAAAATGTGCTAAAAATAGTACATTTAATGGCTAATATATATATTTCGATGAGGTCAACCCCATCCCTGGAAAAGGTATCCAGTTACGGTCTACTACCCCGATGTATATATAGATGGCTCCTGTTAGAGTATAAAAAAGTAATTTTGTGCAATTTGGCAGCGTAATTAGAGTTGCTAGATAACTCTGTCCGCCATCAGGAGCCCTTAAACCACAATTAAAACAAAAAAAATGGATGAGTAAAGACTATACATCAATATCAATATTAATCTTGTAAAAATTCTAGTATGAGCCATTAAAATTGCTGAATGACCTTCTTCACCTCAGACACTCGTGTCAGTCAAGTGTAAATCGACGTCCGCCATTTTGAATTTTGTTCAAAAAAAACCTCTGACCTAGCAGCACAGCTGCATCTTGCGCCCATCATCTGCCCCCAAGGGGAGAGGATCTGGCTCCTTTTTCATAGGAAATTCATAAATTGTCTACTAAAACACTGTGCAATATGGAAGCAAGGTCAATTTAAGCACTAAAAGCAGCTCAGATATCTCAGAATTGGAAGAAAACTAGTAAGAGAAATTGCTCAGAGATTATGGAAAAAGTTGCTTGAAACGAAAAAAGTTGCTCGAAATACTACAAGTTGCCAAAAAGTTGTCGAGCAACTTGTTAAAAGCCCTAGGGAGAAGGGGGGGGAGGCTACTCAATAAAGCTTTGTTCGGAGAGGCTTCTCCCCGAAGTCCAGTACCCTTAAATATACTATTTTTGACAAAAGGTACCCCTTTCGTGTATCTTCCATTGAAAAGTTGTACCCTTTTCATATATCTGCTTCGTGAGAATAAGAAAGGAGGTCTTCCGGTCATTTTCGAGTAACCTTAACATGTAAATGATATTGCCATAAGGCGTGTTTCTTCGAAGCATTTTAATAAAAGGCCCTTTAGAATACTTAATGAAAGATTTTTGTCTCCTTTCACGTACTTCAACTTGTGATTTTCCTACCCTTTGTTACACCTGATGCTTGAAAGAGGTACCCCTCGGGCGAAGCCTTCCGGACTATGAAACTGTGCATCATAAAATCAGGAACAGGAGATGAGTGGACCTTCGGACATGGACGGCGATTGAAGACTGACGCAAAAATAGATGATACAATTAAGAGTCCAAAGAAACGCAAAGACTTATATGGGATAACTCAAAATGAAGTGAATGAAGAGCAAATGAAGACTGAATAAAGTAATGCCAGTTGGTCACCTGTTCACCACACCCCATCACTCAGCCAAAATAAAAAAACGACAACACAAAACGAGCTAAATTTAACTAAAAGTAGTAACTGAAGAAGAAATAGGACCGTAATAGGTCGCTGATAAGCCGGTTTGTTTGTTTTTGTTTTTTATCTGTTTGGTAATTCATCACTTGTGGACAAGGCAGCTACTAGTGCCAGTCCCTCCTGAGTAGTGAATTTTCAAGATGGGGTTGCTTTGTTATTTTCTAGTTTCATCCTATCGTTCAGCACTTTTTGCACTTTCAAAATGTAACCTAGGCAGTATTTCGAGCTTTTTGATATGTTCTCCAGCTGCTGAACATACTTTACAGCGAAATATGAAAGAAAATTCACGAAGAGGACTTAAAACAAACACGAAGGGATCGGCCTGTTTTCAAGAAAAAGCTTGGAAACTATAACAAATGTGAGTTTTCTAATTTCTTCCTGTTTCAATGGCCCAAAATGATTATCAGTGTTTTGGTTACATGGATGAAAGTAGACTGCAATTTGGCTGTCAGAGGTGTTCTGTCGTTTTAGTTGTGCGCTGTAGATCAATTCAAACATGCTCGATTTTTTGCTCGTTTGAAGACACTGAGCTTAGGTCAGATAAAATAAGAAAATGTTAGTCTTCTCCGTGGCTACTTAACAAATCTTATGGTTTTAGAAAGTAGTTCTGTGATGTGTTGTATCGCATACAAAAAATAAACTTCGCTCGTTAAATTTTGAGGGTTGTGTGAGTTTCAGAAAATGGTGAAAAGAATTTGCTTCTAAAAATGGCGTCCGAGGGTGTCGAATAAAGTGATGCTCGTATCTCTAATACAAGAGCAGTGAAGAAACTATGTTTGGTATATTTGTCCATTACTCCACCAGACCTATCTATTTATTCTGTTGACCCCCTTCCGATGACATTTTTTAACATTTTGCCCGGTTTTCTCTTGCAACCACTCTTAAAACATAAACAAATGACAGCTTTTGTCTGTTCTTGTCCACATGTACGTTCACTACATGTACACGGCAAGAGATCATTTTGGCTTGGTTTGTTGGCTTTTACATTTCGTAACACGCGCTATTACTCCACAGAACTTTTTTTTTCAGTTATCACCCTATTCACTTGCATGCATGGGAAAGTATAATTTATTAAAATGATAATTAAAAAAAACATGAATTGAAATAATGCGATAAACACACCAAGATAAAAAGGTCTATAGTCGTTGAGTCGTTTTGTGGTTGATTCTCCAAATAAGTACAAATGGAATTCGGAGCCTTAAACGTGACAATCAGCTAGGATTAGCCTTTTAGATGAACAGACATAAAGTCTCAAATGATCCCCTAGCTTTCACCGCATTCAGAACTGGCTTTTTAAGCCCCAAGGTAGCCCCACCCCCTGGGAATCATTCTACCCTCCCAGAGGATCAATTGATGTTCTGAAGTCATATAATGGGCCAAATATCACTCCTTATCTGGACAGCCTCCATCTTTAGAAATTTTCACCAATTGCCTGTAAATCAAATTAATCGGAGTCAAAATCGTGACATTATAAGAACAGATAATAGCTATGACAAAGTGTCATCATGCAAAACGAAAACAAAAAAAAAAACACCAAAACATTAACCTTTTTTCAATGAGATGATAATTGAAAATTACCACCAACCCAGTCAAATATGAAAAACAATAATTGCGTTCAATGCGGGCCATATTAAATCGGAAGAGAAGGACTTCGTCTGCTAGTTAACCCTTGAAAACGTCGATGGCATTCCCTTGAATAAGACACCGATTGAGCAACTCATTTAGGTGGCTCGATACAGTCTTTGAAGATGACAATTTGTTATGATCAGGGTTGCAATGACATCGGAGTTGTCATAGCAACGAAATGACGCTATTACCTATTTTACTTGCAGCAGTATATCTCGGCACTGCGACCTGTTCTTCTAAAATCGTTCACGAGAGTTTTTTTCTCCAATACGATTGATGTTCGTCAAGTTTAAGCGAAATCTGTAAGAGCGTTATCGAGATATTTTGGAATGTAGTTTTTATGGTTAGTAACACATGCACAGTAACTAAAGAAAAATCTTGATGTTTGGCCGTTATCTGTAGAAAACGAAGCGCTTTTGACGTGCAATTTTCACCTCACAGTAGTTTCAATCTTTTTGAAAACGTGTGTGAAAGATCATGCAGATAGCTCCAGCCGATTGCCAGAAAGAAGGGTTTATAAGTACGTATCGAAGCACTCTCGTTAGCGGTTTTGTAAACATTTTGGTCTTCTTTAACAGATTAGCGAATAATTTTTAAACCGCTCGATAGATTTTTTTTTAAATTTATGATTCTTGAGATTAACCTTCCTTTTATATTACCTTTTAGTTTCAAGATTATTGGTATATTTAAGTCAGTAAAATAAGGGTTACAATTCGTTAATTTTTTTATCGGAAGTTTAGTCATTACAAGTGAAAGCCTGTCGTTATTGAAGGTATTGTCTCCAAGTTTCATTTTCACGTGAACAGCAGTAAATAACAATGAATTTGAAATATCAAAAATGCAAGCTATTGTTGTGCACGAAAAAATGGAACTTGGAGACAATACCCTGAATACTCAGAAGCTCTCACTTGTAAACACAAAATTACTGACAAAATATTAGCGAATTTACAGATTTCGCTTAAACTTGAACATCAAGGCCGCTGGTTGAGGAAAAAGCTCTCGTAAACGATTTTGGAAGAACAGTTCCCAGTGCCGAGATATACTGCTGCAAGTAAAATAGGTAATAGCGTCATTTCATTGCTATGGCAACTCCGATGTCATTGCAACCCTGATCATAACAAATTGTCGTCTTTATCTAATACAACTATGGTGGCCATTTTTCCAAATATTTGTTTATGGCGACGTAGTTTATGCTCAAACTTGGGAGGTATTGACCCCAAAAAACTGTATCGAGCCACCTTAACAGACGTTTTTTACCACGTAATGGTACCCCTGAGAACTGTTTCTGCCTAATGAAGTCCTACGTAGGTGCATCGAAGCGAATATGTATGCATAAATTATGGAGCGACAAAAGGCAAATTCCCTGGAGAACATTACGTGCTCTGAGTTGGGAAAACAAAACATACATGCTATGATGGTCTATTGTGAAGAAAGTTTTTGTAAATTTGAAAACGTTTGATTTCACAGAACGTATGTAGGATGATATAGATCAAAACTGAAGCTTTGACATAATTTTTCTCCCGCAATGAATAAGCATGCAGTGTTCAAAACAGAGGCTATCTGGATCAGTTATCAAGTACTCCTATGCCTACGTTTTATCAAAACTGTCTTAAAGATGACTTCTTTTAATGAACCGCAAGCGTTGATTAGCTTTACTATAAGACGGTCATGACAATGTGATCGCTTTCTCTTCATTACGCAGCCTTTAAAAAGCAAAGGAAAGACAAGTAATATGGACTAAACAGAGTCCATCTCAGCAAAAGAACACTGGTTCCTCCGAGACTCTTGTTTCTACTTGCATGGTTATATTATAATTAAAATTGAATATTTTTCATCTTGCAGGACAAAATGACGGAATTGGTACTGTAATCCGGATATGGTATTCGTTACGAATTTCAGAAAGCGATTTTTCACTGCTGATGTCCGGTTTGCAGGACCTTTTGGACGCTAGTGATTTAAACACTCTAACGAATGGCTTCGTGAACATGGTGTCAGTTGATCAACTGGGTAAGCTGAAAGAGGTGTGGCAAGTTTGGGTCCAGTTGTCTTCTCTCACAGGACCCTGGGTAACTGAACAAAGAAATGACGCCTTCGAAAGCGATACTGGATCAGAGGCTGGGATTTTTAACTATCTAAACTCGATCCCAAAAGACCACAAAAGATCTGCTAAGTTATGGATGAAAGATGGGCTTTTTGCCTCAAAATGCGTGAAATCATCGAAGTTAACGCGAGAGAACGTAACTCTAACAAGTTATCTATTCCAGTATGAGCCTGGAGAACAAGACGCCTACGACTTCAACATAGAACCCAGCAATCTTCCCTTTTCAAGCAGGGATTACAAAGCCATGACGAGTGTCTGCTACAATGATTCGCTTCCAGAGATGTTCAGCACTTACCTATCATATATCATGAACAAGTGCATTGACAAACTGAGAAGTGGTCGGGTGAAGTTGCAGGTGATACTATGTGACTGCATGATGATTGATCCATTCCTGCCTGTCGACCTTACATACGACCGTATCGCAACATCAAATCTAAGCGACTACATTTCCCTTCCCTCCTTACTAACAAAATTCAAGGGGTACTTGAATGTCAGCAACAGTCATTCAGTCTTAATGACTGAAATGCATAATTGGGTGGATGACTATTTGCCCGAAGTGAAAGCTGATATATTTTTGAGGGCCCCTGAACTTACACCGAAAGTTGTGAAGGACACAAACAATCCATTGCTTGTAGCGACCGGGCACTTGACGAGCTTAATTGAATACCACAACATTATTCCAGACTTCCAGCTCTACCTCCGTGCCGCGCTTATCGAGTCACACACTGAAACAGAATTGGAGTCTTTCAGGAAACAAAGGAAGAAGCTTCCATCCATAAAAACTATCTCTTCTGATTTGGGCCTGGAGCTACGTGACTATGTGAGAAATGAAAACACTGTGTTTCCCTTCAAGTGGGCTGTGAACTGCCGTAGAGTCAACTTGAATAGGGGAGATGAATTTACTTTAGAGTGGACCCTTCCCACGTCATCTCAATAGTTTATTACTGACTTATTCGCCCAGCCACACAATCTACCCTTTAGGTCTACTAGAGCTATGGAGTGTTTTCTCTCTCCCGTGTAACTGAAAATTAGAGGTCAGTTCAGATAACGCTCCATTTTGGATCGACCAATTTGCACAGTCAGCTGCTTCCTTTACCAGTTACTTTTTTACTAGCGCTGGTTTAAGACGTGTAGTTGGGAGCCAAGTACTTTACAGTCGTTTGTTACTGGCACGTTTTGGAGGTACTTCCAACAGCTTGCGAAAGGGCAGCTCTCTCGGACGCTATCGCTTTGTATAGTACATTAGTATGCACTTACAATTCAAGTTCTTTTGAGGACAAAATGTACCACAGAGGAAACTCTTGTTAACTTTTGGTTTAGTTCTTTAGTTTGCCGACAGGTGCAGTCTCTTCTATTTTTTGAAAGATAAACTCACTCTAAATTACAACTAAAGGGATTATAGCGAGAATGTTTATGTTTTCTGGTAAAAGTATATCAGTGTCGTGCAGATTTGCTTTTACTTTAGTAGCAATGAGATGAATTTAATTGCAATAGAGAAGTAGACGTGATTCATTAGCACCGGTTTCAGCGAAAACATGTGATTTTTTTACTGACAGATGCTATTGCCTCTCTCAATTGTATGGTCATTATTGTAAATGTTCTCTCGACTATTCCATTTCGCGAAAATGGAAGAGACAAATTAGTTTTTCCTACGTTAAGAAACTCTATAAAGAGCGGGGATTACACAACGTCACAAAACACTTACTGAGCCAAATATTCAAATGACTTGTTCTTGAGGAAAATGTCGCCCATCCTCATTTCTTCAAACTGATGATTTCTGAATATTGACTTGAGTGTGAGAGAATTCTTTCAAACCACATATGTTAGGTCAGCCTGAAGATACATCCTTATAACTGGAGATGAGGCGTCTCTCTCATTAAGGCTGAGTCCAGAAAGGTCTTCGAATGCAGACGTTAGTTATCTAAATTTTGACGGGGGAACTGATGCGAAAAATTGTAGCAGCTAGAAATTTCTTTACCAACAACTAATTAAAAGCCCGTTGCAGTTATTGGTTTTTAATTTTTTATGTTCTTCCACCGCCGACCGAAATGAAATACAAGTTACACAACTGCTTTCAAGATTCTTCTCAACCTCGTTCCCAGGGTTCTCTCTCTTGCTTCGTGACAATGAACTCCTCATCAGGGACATCAAAGTAGGGCAAATGTATTATCTGAATATGGCCTAAACCTCGAGGCAGTAATATGTATTCAGGCACATGCTATTCGTTGTGGAAAATTAAGTACAGGGGCGAGGTTTGTTTATTATTGTTCTTTTGAAACAATGTTTTGTGAAGATCGTTCTGAAAATTTTGAATTCGGCCCGTTTGATTTTCAGTCTGTTTAGTGTCGTGTAAACAAGAAGGTACTCGCTTGACAACACACACAAAGTTTATTTTAAAAAGTCGTATTTTAATGACCAGTGATACAAATAGTTCTATTCATTATGCTTTCAAGAAGTGCTTCTATCGTTTTCATCACACAGATGAAATATTAAGCTCAAGCTTTTCTAGCTATCTCTAATTTTGTCAACAACACTGCTGGATTTATGTTAGCTAACTTGTTTAAGCTTATGTTTTCTGATTCGGTTCCTTTTTTTGATCACCTTTAAATGTCGATAAAAGACAGCATGAAGAAGAAAAGTAAGTTACCTTTGATTTATATTTCAGGGTTTTTATGGATTAAAGTCTGGTCTCAGTTCTGTATCGAGGTCGGCCGTTACACTGACTGGTTTGCAAGGTTTGCATGAGCACCAACCTTTCCAACCGGCGGTCTTAAATTCTTGATAAATGAAAGTATTGCAGTAACTGGAGATGCAAAAATTGATTTGTTTCCTCTTCATCTCATAATATGATTTCGAAACTTGACGGCTTTCCGGCTTTAAGTTTGCAGTTCTTAATCGACCGGTAACCGGCCCCACTTCATACCGCGGCAAAGAAGAATCAAACGTTTTCAACGCAATACTTACTTTCCGCGAGTCAACAACAACTTGAACTTCAATTTTTTTAGGTCGAAGGCACGTGAATGATATGAAAAACCTTTGCTATAAACTTGTTCTGATAACTTCAAAGTAATGCTTCTCTAGCGTGCAGTGTATTTTGTGCCTTTCCCACAACGGCGACAATTTTATACTCTACTACCCCTCCTATGAGGTAAATTCTTCTTAGCCCCAGATTTGGGGGGCTATGTGACCACCCGCAACCAGAGTTCTTTCTCGAAGCAAGAGAGAGAACCCTGGCAACGAGGTTGGATTCTCTTCTGTTATCCAAAACTGTTTTGTTTATCCTGTTATGAAACAATCTGTACAATTCAGGTGAAGAAGAAGATGAACAAAATAATAATAATAATAATAATGATAATAGCAGTATTAAGTTACAATCTGGTATACACGGACAGCACACGTCTCTCTTCCTTTGTATTTCAGAGCTAAATTACTTTAGTATTTCCTTCTATAACATCATTAAAAGACTTGGAGAAAAAATTCCTAGAATTAAAATTCGATTTTAGAGTACTTCCTGTTTTCAACACTGAGAGTCGTGCTAAATCAGCACACGTTTCATTGCTGTGAGAGATTTAATTTGTCTCACTTTGCCGCAGCCGTACCTAGGTAGAAATTAGTTTCCATTCCAGTGTTCTGATATAGCCTCTCATCATGTTAACTCTACGACAATTAACCGCCCATTTAAAAGGAAAAACGGTGTTTTCGTTTCTAATAAAATCCCGGAGATATAGTCCTAGGGACTGTACAAGACACTAGAAGAGATGCACGCAGATACATGACAAATTCATCACTCAGGTTTAAATATTCGATAACAGTAGAATTACCTGAAGAGGAGACCATTTCTGGATCTTGCGTGTCCTTTACAGCCCTCTCATGCAGTAAATCACTACAACTATTTGGCAGTTTCTCAACGATTTCCGGCAAAACCTTCGGCATGTTGATTGTTTCAGTCAACAGGACTGCATGAGGATTCGACCTATTTAAAAACCTCTTCATCTTTGTCAGTAACACGGAAAGGGGTAGATAATCCCATAAGTTGGAAGTGGTAATGCGGTCATACGTGATAATCGCAGGAAGATGCGCCTCGATCTCTAGAGCATCGCAGAGAATAAAACGGAACTGAACACGACCAGCGTTCATCATTTCAAGGGATTTCTGTAAGATCTGGGACACGTACATGGTGTACATCTCTGGAAGTGAGTCAGAATAACAGATTTTCTTTATCGCCTTGTAATCCCACCCAGTGAACGGATGCAGATCTGAAGTCATGCTGTAGTCAAACTCAGCGCCTTCTGGACTAAGTGGACTGAGTACACGACCAGTCAAAGTAGGATTTTGTCGAGTTAGTTCTTTGGGATTTGCTGTAGAGGGAAAAATGCCCGTGTCAAAATACTTTTTCGCAGAATTTCTGTGTGGTTTTGGGATGGTATCCAGGTAACGAGGTAGTCCAATCTGAACGTCTGACCTATCAGCGGAGAAAACCATTTTCCTTTCATTTGATACCCATGGTCCTTCGCGCTCTGACAAGCAAAGCCACGCTGTCCAAACACTCTTAAGCTGTTCCATTTGCTCAGCAGAAATATCCATCACTCCTTTAGTAAGACTGCTTAATTCGTTAGTTGTAGCAAGGTCTCGAAGTGATGAGGTCAGCAAGATGAAGTCTTCTTCAGAAATGCAGACTGAATACCAAATTCGAATCATGGCATGAAAGATGTTATCACCTCCTGCCAATGTAAGAGGAGAGAATGGGTGTTGAATATTAATATAATTAAACTTTGATCTTGGGGTCACTAGCCACACTTAGCGATAGTAGTAAATCCACTGAATAAAGAAAAAATATGGGTTCTTTGAGATTTGAAACCCAAATTTAAACAACAGCAGTAACTTCAGATGCTACACCTAAATAAAACTTATTAGTTCCTCGCGACCACAAGAATAATTTGTTTGCACCCTACTTGACATCACATACTGTCCCCATTAGTCTCGATAAAATAGCTGGATACAGTAGGCATATAATTTAACGCAAGATCTCATCTTCGCTCGGTGGAAACAAAACAGCGATACGATCGATGGCCAAACTCTAAGAACATAACAACAGAAGAACATTGTCTTCCTCGTGAAATGTCGCTACATTCTCCATGACTTTGTTGTGCTTAATGCTTCCAACAAAAGTAAGTTTAAATATGGTATGACTGAGTCACGAATAGTGGCGCCGCTCACAGCAATAACTTGAGTACCTAAAAGTACCCACTTACAAGTTTATAGCTCACCAAAGAAAGACGGGTAACCTAACTGTTCTGCATCGACAAACTAGCCATATGAGACTGGTCACAGCTATGTTTACATTGATAGAGGAGAAGCATGAAATTGTTAAACAATTATTCCTTGTAGTCATATTAAATTCTGTAAGCAGAATACTGCAATGCTGATCGTACTACGTGAAAATTAACTCTGCGAGACATCAACAAGACACCGAAAGAACTCAAAACAGAGCGGGATTGTAGCCATGGACAGCTGTTTCGCCCTTTTTAGCGCTCGTCAGTGTGGCGCAACAACCAGAGAAAACTCTGATAAAAAATATCCGCGCACTCTGATTTTATATTAAGCCCTGACCCAGAACTCTCAACACCCACAGAATCACGCCATAACACGTGTCTTCTGGAGGGCAAGAGTCCAAGTGTCAAGTTGATGTCTCGCAGAGAAAATAAAGAATTGGCCAAAACCAACCTCAAAAACATGGACAAAACCATGCAAGAATTACAGCATAACGGATCTATAAAAGATCTACGGCCCAAAAATTCATTAAGTACAAACATCAAACACTGCATAGGACCGCCAATGAATATGCCGAAGGACGTAGGATCTATAAAGACCTGATCAGCAAAAATAATAATTAGACGTTTTAAATTCTGCAAGGGCGCAACAGCTGTCTATGGCTACAATTCCGCTCTGTTTTGAGTTCTTTCGGGGTCGTGTTGATGACTTGCAGAGTTAATTTTCACGTAGTACGATCAGCATTGCAGTATTTTGCTTGCAGAATTTAATATGTGTAAATTATTCCTTCTTTAGATCCAATAAGGCGTGAAAGTTGAAGCTTCAAATAAAAACCTCCTTAGCTAATTAAGCAAAAAATGTAATCTCTTAAAAAAGTGTACAATAATTTACAAACATTAACAAAAATACCTTTGTATAACATATAGAGAAGCAGGACTATTCTGGCCAGGGTACAAGGACAGATGTCGTTCAAAACGAAGCTCACTTGTTGAGTATAAACATCAGGCAAAGAAGCAATGGAAAGTAGAACATTCCTTGGATCACCAACTCCGCAAAGTAACAAAGCCAGTGGGTTCGAATACTCCTCCCCTTCATTCATCGACAAATTGAGCAGGTCCACAGCAGGCACATTACCCCAGTAATAGGTGGCGTAAAGGCCCTTAAAACTATTTTCAATTTGCAAAACGTCCTTTATTTTGTGAACTAATATCAACGTTTGATCGACAGTCATCTCGCAGAACGTTTTATGCCTTCTCCAGTCTTCTCTTTGACATTCTCTGCCACAATAATGGGCTTTCAAGCAGTTGGTACACGTCATCATTCCCTCTTGTTCATTATTGCAGGCGAAACACCGCATTTTCAGCGCTGCTGCATCGCAGTCTGGCTGATGTCGCCACTTGTCTCGGATCTGACATTTCTTAGAGCAGTAGAATGCTACTCTGCATCGCGAACACTTTTGAGTGCAGACTACCTCGCACCGCCAGCAATGACAAGCTCTGTTCATGAGTTCAGTGATGTCATCCGCTTAACAGAATTTCATCATTTCACTGTCGAAATAATTCAAGAGATGTGAATAGACTTAACAATTAATTTGTGACCATGTCTTTTGTTCATTTAGTGTAATACGAAGGCCCCATTGTATGAATATTGTCGAGCTTTTGTGTCTTATGCGGTGATGAAGTACAGAACTTCCCGGTTAGCCATTTTAAAATGTAAGTTAAATAGCTGTTCTTGATAGGATATACACGGACATCAACCACCTTTTACTCGGAAACAGATTGTTAAAGATTTAATATATTCCTTTTTCTCAGAATTTATGTTTAATTGTTCATTCATATACATGTCATGTTTTCAAGGTCACGTAAAATATCAGAGTCCTTCTTAAAGCCTACTTTCTGAAGTGTATCGTTTTGAGAAGGTATGAGGCGGAAAGCAAACTCTGCTGGTAACCTCTTCTACGCAAGCACAGAATCACCCTGTACATAACGTTTACGAGAGACAGGGACAGATCTTTGAAGATCTAATATATTCCTTTTTCTCAGAATTTCTTAAAATATGCTAAATTATTCAGTTCATGAGGATATCTGTCATATTTTCATGATTTTGTAAAATATCCGAGTCTATCTTTAAGTCTACTGCCTGGAGATCTGACAAGATCATCGTTTTGAGAAGATAAGTATATAGCGGAAAGTATACTCTGCTGGTAACCTCGACTCAATAATAGAATCACCCTGAACATAACTTTTAAAAGAGGCAGGGGCAGGAGGAAATAGTCCGTCGTGCTTTGTCCTGTCCTGTTTGCAATGATTGATTAGTACGGTGACTGAGTTCAGAGACAAAAACTCCTTTAACATAATATGATTTCTTGGAATTTTCTCTATGTCAAATTATTCAGTGTTTATTTTAAGTGGCTTGTGGTATCCAAACAAAGATTCTTCTGCGCACGCGCACGCACGAACATCAGAAGTCTTAATTTCCAAATTAGGCCGGGACAAAAGCCAGCAAAGTATTTGTCTTGTAAACAACATTCTCGACAGTTGTGGTTCTGCTCGAATGCGTTATCACTTGAGTTTCACACAAAATGTTCAGGGTGAATGGGTTAATTTGTCGTGATGTAACATTTGACGGCAAATATGACAAAGAACACTTTCGATGTTTTCCATAAAAATTTCCTTCATTAATAACTTACAATTAAAAGTTCATGTATTCACTTTTCCGAGAAATTCGAAACTGAGATACAGTTTGTGGCCTGAGCTATTCTCGTGTGACAAGAATATGGTACATCATCTAAGACCCCACCCAAACTAAGTCATTCAACGCGGTTCATATTTCAAAACTGTTTTCTAACGAAGCCTAACAGTCCTTCTAATAACAAGAAAAACGATAAAAAACCAGCCAAAAACCTGCTATATTTTAGCAAGTATAGGATAAACACTGTGGTGTTTTGCAGTCAGCTCCGTCAAACTATCCACAGAACTTTTCTCGAATCATTACCAGTAGCACGGGAAAAAGTTGCGGAACTCCCTAACATTTGCGAAACAATATTCTCCGCCAGAAAAAAGTTTGATTAATTTTATTGCGCTGTAGCCTCAGCAGCAGAATCAGAATTAAGTTTCCATTCCAGTGCTCTCTCGTAGCCTCTCAACATGACAACTCGACGACAATTCAGTGCCCATTTAGGAGGAGAAACAGTGTTCTCGTTTCTTATAAAGTCTCGGAGTTGCAGCCCCAGCAAAAGAACCAGATATTTCAAAGATGGAATCTTCATTTTACTTTTAAAGGAAGCTAACTGCTTATCTGTACACGAGACTAGAAGAGATGAGCGTAGAAAACGAAGAAAGTCTTCTGTCAAGTCAAGATATTCCACAACAGTAGTAAGTCCCGATGAATTCACAAGTTCGGCATTCTGTGTGTCTTTCAAAGCTGTCCCACATAGTTTATCTATTCCGACTTGATATGGCCTAACGTGAATGATTTCAGGCATATAGTTTCTCGGCCAGTTTTGTGCTTCTGTCAACATCACCGAGTGGGGATTAGCAGTGTTAAGAAAGCTCTTGAATTTTGTCAGCATATCTGCTAGGGGATAGAAATCCCACAAGTTGGAAGTGGTTATGCGGTCATAGCTCAGATCTGCAGGTAGGTAAGGGTCAATATTGAGAAAGTCGCACAAAATAAAATAAAACTTCACCCGTCCACTGGCCATTTTCTCACAGGATTTCTGCAGGATATCTGAGATGTAACTGGTGTACATATGCGGCAGTGATTTAGCGTTGTAGATTTTCTCCATTGCTTTGTAATCCCATCCCGTGAATGGAAACACGTCTGCAGGTATGCCGTAGTGAAATTCAGAGCTTAATACTGAGAGCCTTCCGCGACCAGTCAAGGTTGGATTTTGTTGGGTTAATTCCTTAGATTTTGTTGTGGTGTGAAAGATGCCCGTGTCAAAAAAGTGTTGTGCGGACGCTCTGTGCGCTTTAGGGATGGCGTGTAGGTAATGCCTTATACCAGCCTCTCTTCCTGAATCTGACGAGTGGGCTGCTTTCCTCAGCTCTGTTACCCAAGGTCCTTTGAGTTCTGACAAACGAAGCCACGTGGCCCAAACAGTCTTAAGCTGCCCCAGCTGAGCAGTAGAAACGTCCATCTTGCCATCGGTGATGGTGCACAGTTCGGCTGTGGCCACGAGGTCTTGAAGGGCTGATATTAGCACGGAAAAATCTTTCTCAGAAATGCGGACAGAGTACCAAATCCGGACCACTGCCGAAGAGACGCCATTTCCCCCTACAAATAGTGCACAAGAGTTATGGTAAGTTTTAGCTAAAACTGCATGCGCTTAAGAGAAAAGAAATCTAGTTTATACCAGTACTACAATATGTTGCCCACATACCGGAAGGTACCAGTTTTCGGCCACTACTGGGAAAACAAAACCTCAATTATTCCCATTGCGAACCAAACATTTTAGCTATGAAATGTAAATTTTGGCGGGCTTACAGCTTGAGAAACAGTTGGAGAAGGCGCCGATCTGTTCAGCTGAGTAAAATTATCTCGGCCAATATTTACTTTGTTTACTGCGCAGTAAAACTAGTGCTGTTCAAATAACGGTTCAGTAATAGGTAATATTTTCAAAGAATTTGTTGAATATTTGAAGTGAAGATACCTAACGAGTTAATTTGTCAGAAAATTCACTATTTATTCTTGAAATTTAACTTGTCTGGAATAAACGAGGCCAGAAACATTCACTATTGTATTGACTTCAGGTGCCCAGTATCCGGCCAGTTTTATCTTTGCTGTGCAAAATCGTTGAATTGGCAGCGTGAATTCTCCGGACTATATTTATTTCTTATCTATGACCTTAATTATAGCTTAGGAAATACATGTAATACGTACAATGTAATTCTACTCAATCTGAACTGCGTTTTGTTCGTTTCTTTTTTCATATTTTATCTCCACAGCCCCAGACCAAACTTAATCAGCCGCTCGCGCAGTTCTCCCCACCATAACCAGCATTTTATACAATGTTTTGTTTCAGATGCTAGGTTCCTTGTTTAAGGCGAGTTATATTTTCGGAATGGAATGCCAGACTACTTTGCTAGACCCAGGGTAGCCTATATGTGGCTTGCCTGTCGAAAATTACGTTGTTTTTGTTGTGGTTGGATACTGGGCCTGCTGGCCGGATACTGTGCAACATAGGAGCTCTGCAAAAATAATAATTTCACGATAGATATGAAGGTAAAAAACTTAAACTTTTTTTCGTCTTATTACAGACTAAATAGATCTTCTCTGGGCCAGATTTCAGAATTCTTGCGACTAAGGAAGGGAAGTTATAGCAATTTCCTTTCAGAAATAGAATTGATTTTACAATGTATGCAGAAAGAGAAGTCGTAATCTCTCTTCAAACGGTATACAGATACAACTCACTTCAATTTCGTAGGATGTCACATTTTAAAAGCATTGCATAATTAGTTCCCAATATCAACAAGGATTTTACAAGTTAAACCGCTACCAAGAATGGTTTTGATAATATTTAATACAATGATGGAAAAATAAATTTAGGGACGCCTCAAAGCATCTAGATATACAAGTAACCATAAATATGTATATATATATAAAATACACAACTAGCAATCCAAACTACCTTTATATAACATGTATAGAAGCAGAACGGTTCTGGCCAGGGTACAAGGACAGATGTCGTTTATAACGAAGCTGATTTGCTGTGTATAAACATTAGGTAACGAAGCAATCGTGAGTAGAACATTCCTTGGGTCACCAACTCCGCAAAGCAACAAAGCCAATGGGTTCGAATACTCTTCCCCTTCATTCATCGACAAATTGAGCAGATCCACAGCAGGCACATTACCCCAGTAATAGGTAGCGAGAAGGCCAGGGTTATCCTTTTTCATCTGGTGAAGAAACTTAATTTCTTCTACTAATCTCAACGTTTCGTCAACAGCTTTCTGACAGAAAGACTTGTGTCTCTCCCAGTCCTTTCTCTGACATTCTGCGTTGCAATAGTAGGATTTCAAACAGTTGGTACATTTCAACATTCCCTCCTGCTTAACGCCGCAGCCGGAGCACTGCATATTCAACGCTGCCGCATCGCACTGGGGTTGATGGCGCCACTTGTCTTGTTTCTGACACTGCTTGGAGCAGTAATACGCCACTCCACATCGCGAGCACCGTTGAGTGCAGACTGCCTCGCACCGCCAGCAGTGACCAGGTCTGTTCATGATCTTTGTCGTTTCGCCTTAACTCTTTTACGAAGCACGATTCTTAATTATCAAAGACAATTACCTTTGAAGATTGCTAACATTCCTATTGTTCATAGTCAGTGTCGTTTAACTACTTCTCAAAGGATAAACGGGGATTGATAAAAGAAAAACCCTGTCTTATCCAAGATAATCGAAAGACCTCCTTTACAATCTCCTGAAGAATATTTTTTCTAAGTTTCCACGAAACGTTTTTCTAGAATAACTGAGTTAATCTATTCTCTTTTCCGAGAATTTC